AGTTTTCACATGGCCTCCTGGGTCCTGACTCAACCTCGGGAATTTTCAGCTGAAAAATCTCACCTTCAGCTACCCCTCTCAGTACCACCTACCCTGCTCCACAGGATAAGAAGGCTTAAAGTTAAACACCATTTGGAACAGCCACCCACAGGTATGAATTGGGGATGTACAACAATGAGGTTAAAACATATGAGTCAGGACATCACCCCCCAAATCAATGGTGCACAGCACAGGGATCTGAAAGTGGGAAAGAGGCTTTAGGACTTTAACACAGATCGGCTAACACCACCCTAAATTGTTGACATGGGGTCTTAGACCCAAGGCTTTGTTCAAATTCCAGCTCTGCCACTGATTTTATGGTTGACTAATATTGCATTATATGTATGTACTACTCGTTCTTTATCCTCTCCTGCACTGATGGACATTTAGGTTGTTCGTACAAACACTTCTTAGTATACCTCATGCTTTCATATACATTACCACATTTGGTCCTCACTAAGGCTGCCATTGTCTCCGTTTCCATTTTACAAACGAGACTGTACAGTCAGCAAGGTTAAGTGTCTTGCCTACAACGGGCAGTACACCTTCCCTTCCAGGAGGAATGAGGAAAATGCAATAGTCTTGAGAAGACTGCAGGGTGAGAGCCACTTGAAACGCGGCAAGGGAAACTAAAGCTGCGTGAGAAACACACAGGAGTATCAGGAAGAAAAGAAAGAAGAGAGTGCTCAGCTGAGCGAGGAGATAAAACATTCTTTAGAAATGGGAATCACTGGAATTAACATTTTAAGAGATTTTTGCATTCATTTGATGTAAACCTTAAAGTCCTTCAACCCTTAGCAATGCCTGCTATATACCAAAAAATCACTGTGACAGTGAGTTTTAGTGGGGATGTAAGTATAGGGGAGATGTGGAAACTGAAGGAAAAGGTGCATTAGATAGGGGGCGACTCAGACACCGCAGGTGTGGGAGCTCAGGCCAGAGCCACCAGGAAAACAAACCTGGCCCCAGGACACCCCGGGGGGCCTCCGGGGGGCAGAGGGGACTCCAGCACGTGAGGTGGCATTGGCATCCAATCCCGTTTCATTTGAATTTCCGGGGACAAGGAGTGTCCACTGTTATCTAGGTGACAAAGTACTTTGGTATTTTGAAGAAAGGCAGGGTCTAAAACACCTTTTGATTGTTATTTGAGGAAAATTTTTCAGCTTAGAGTTTTATTGGCTGGAGATGGAGATAAGAAAATAGTTGACTGCCTCCTGGCTACGCTTCCAAAGACCCTTCGAAGCCCTGGGACTTCTTTGCAAGGGAAAGATTGGGCAGACGGCTCCCATGAGCAGGCTAATTCTAGGCCTTGCTAAAGTGCACAGCTCCTCAGGAAACGCTGACCAAATGTGTTTGCAAATACCCATAAACTTGGAGATGGGAGGACCAGAGCAGTGGTTCCAAAACTTCCTTTAACAATAGATCCTTTTGCTCAAACAAAATCTTACAAAGACCACTTAGGAGAATGAGCCTGGAAACCAGAAGCCCCCTTTCCAGACCTGTGAAGCACTCTAATACCCAAGACATTTGGAGGAAAAAACAAATCAATCTTTCTTAGGAAAGTAAATATTATGTTAATTTTCTGTTACAACAGACAAGATAAATCCTAAAAAATACTGTTTTGACTAATCTATGGTGGAAAAACGTGAGAATGGGATGGAGGAGGGTTGGTGGGGATTTTGCACATCTATATCTGTAGTCTTCATAGTTATTTTCCATCAAGGATTGTTATATAGTAATTTTCTATATCTTGATGGGGCGTTGGATTACATTTGTCAAATGCCACAAATGTACACTTCAGTTTTGTATATTTCACTGATGTGATGTTATATCCAATGGGTTAAAAACTATAAACGGATATTAAATTCTAGCTAATGACATGCCTGTTTAAGCGTGTAAAGGGAAGAGTATAGGTGTCTACAAGTTACCTTGAGATGCATCAACAATAGAACAAATGGCTTGATGGAGAGATAGATGGACAGATATGTGACAAAGCAAGGGTAGCAACACATTAACAGTGGAATCTAGGCGGCTGAGTACGCAGGTTTTGACTTTGCTATATACTTACAAAACAATACATTTTACTTCTTATGCACACTATGGTGATGGGCCCCCTCCTAAAAGATCAGATTGTGCTCTCCCAACAAATTCGTTTGACTCAAGTTGTATTGGAAATGGGGAAGGCCCTGTTCGCACTCTGAAAGAATTTCTCCTAAAGCATTAGTAAGAATTCAAGGTATTAAATCGTACCTGACTCTGGTTCTTGACACAGGTGTCCCTGAAACAAGATGGTAAGGAGGCTGCTGCTGTGGGTGTGGGAGTGGGTGTGGTGCTGGCTGACGGGGTGCAGGCCCACACCCGCACCCACAGCCGGGAGTCGGGGCCCCGCCCACACCGGAACCCAGGGTTCTTGCCTCCAGACTCACTGCTCCTACTGGTTTCCACCTGCCTTTCTAGCAACATGAACTCTCCAACTGCCCACCCCAAAACTATAGTTCTGAAATTCATTAAAATGGAATTTCTCCGATACATTTTCTACACAATAAAGCTGGATTGAAAGAAATGCCCCCGCATTCTGACGTTCAGCCAAACCACCGGAAGCTGTACAACACGGCCAGAAACATGACAAGGCCGGCTAGGTTCCAAGGTCTTCTGTCCTTCCTGCTCGTCACAGAAAAGAGGAGATCCCTCTCCCCAACGCCCTCTTCTCAGCACTCTGTCCTCCAACTAGGACTTTCTTGTGGTCTTTCAAAACATTTCCTTATGAACCTGGATAAAACCTGAACAATCAGGGCTATGGAAAACTGGAACGTTGTTTCCTGGCCTCTCTGAAATCTAAAAATAAATGAGTGCCTGTGTGTTCTGTTTGAGTTTTGGACGAAAGCCCAAAATGACTGTCTTTTGCACCTGAACTGGTTTGCCCATACCTGTGCAAGGGAACTACCCTTCTCTTGGCTGAAATAATATCATTATTGTTCTATGTGTTTTAAGCATCTTGGTTTTATGGTAGAGCATCCCCTGAGGGCAAGAGATGGACCTGGATGATGGATCACAGAGAACAAAGGAAGTGTGCAGAGGGAGTGATCAGCCAGAAGGAACTGGATGGTCCAGTGGGTACTGCAAGACCAGTGGGCTTTGCCATTAGGGTGAGCTGGACACAGTCATCCCAAGGCCTGCTCAGCATGATGCTAAGGGGACATGCAAAAAACGCAGAAGGCCACGTGGGAGCTATCACAGGGGGCTAATATAGGTCAGACCTTGGGAGATAATGGCACACAGCATCAGCTGGTGCTGCATGGGGCTAAGAGAGAGGGCTCCGAGTCAGCCCTCCCTGAGTTTGGAACTCAGATCCTTCACTTCCCAGCTGGGTGACCTTGAGTCAGTAATCCGAATTCTGCAGGTCTCAGCTTCCCCACCTCTAAAATGGGGATAATCACAGTCAATATTAATCGAGCACCTTCCACAAACCAGGTCCTATTCTGAGAACTTGATAATTAATCTTCTCAACAACCATATATGTTGATATGCTACTTTCCCCACATTAGGGAGCTAATTACATTTCTGAAAGTCCAATAGCTGCTAGGTGGCAGAGCCCGGCCACAAGCCAGGCAATCAGACTCCCAAGCCTACGCGTTCATTAATTAGGTTCCCTTCTGTCTGTTTTCAGTTCACTTGCAACAATGATTAGTCGTAAGCCCTTCAGGGCCTCTGAAAAATGTTATAAAGCAATAGCTGAAGGAGCAGGCCTCATTCACCTAAGATTTGGAAAAGCGTGAACAACTTGTCTGTGGCTTTGTTAGACACAAACCAAACTGAGAAGGGAGGAGAGGGCTGGGGCCCAGGAGAGGATGTCCTGAAGCCGATGACACAGGGACCACCAGGAGACTCCAATGAGGCTTCTGGATCCAGGAAAGCTGGCCTGAAGGTAGACAACAGGAAGAATCTCCCACGGGGAGCCCTGTTATCTCCAGGAAATGGGACTGGCAAGCCCAGAAGGGACACCAATTTAAAAGTAGCTAAATCTAAGAAGTTGGATTCAGCGCCCACCCTGGAGAAGACTGGATGGAACGATCAGCACTGGGAAACCCAGAGGATTATCTGTCACAGCGCTGCCCAGCGGAGGGTTTAGGAAGGGAGGGTTAAAATGCAACCGGGCCATTTGAGTCTCAGGGCAAAACTCAGAACAATGTCTAACCATTATTTATTGTGTCTGAGGTCCTTTCTGATTATATGTTAACTTGTGTCATCCTTCCAGAAAGACTAACAGTAAAAAGCCTTTAAAAATGAAAAACGTTGTACACATATGTTAGTGAGAACGTGGAAGCAGGGTTGACGGAAAAGCTGCAGCCTGCTCTGAAGACAGCTCCAGGAGAGGGAGAATTTGGAAACGAGAGACAAGTGGGCCAAATCCCAAGGGCTTATGGGTTTTTGTGGGGCTGCAGAGATGGATGCAAGGTAGCTGGAAGGAGGGCTTGTGTTCTTGGCTCATTAACCCCTCAGTGACTTTGCAAAGGCCTGGGAGGGTTTGCGGACAGAGCTTAGCACCAGAAAGGACACAGGAACAGAGTGCTACTGGCTGACCACAGCCCACAACGTCCAGGGAAGGGTCCAAATCCACCCTTTATTTCCTCCCCCAAGTCACCCTGGAGTCTACACACAGTCGACCCCAGAAAAGGCTTTACCCTTCCTCGTCTCTGAGGGGGACGTGAAGGACAAGGGAGGATTTCTGGATCTCTTCAAGACTAAGAAAAGATCAGAACTGGAGCCTGCTAAAAAGTAAGGGGACGGCCTGGGGGCCTGCGAGCTGACCCTGGGAAAGCTACGGAGGGGAGCTGACAGAGGCTGGGTCACCCCCACCACCCTCCAGGCGAGGCAAGGACCTCTGTCTCCTACACAGGAGCCCACAGCGACCAGTTCTTCTTGGGTGCCCAGTGAGCATGACTCAGCCAGCATCGACTCACCACCCTCTGATCCTCCATCGGGAGGGACACAGAGCCCAAGTCTTTGTGCAGACCCATTGGCCTCCTCCACGTGAACAGGGGTACCTGTTAGTTAAAGAAAAGGTGGAGAGAAAGGACATCTCCACTGAGGGTAGATGGAACAAACCGGTTCGAGACCTGGAGGTTAAGGTTAGAGACCCCACCTGCCATCTGTACTTGCAGCGGTAGAAGCAGGCCTAGGACAGTGCTGATCTTCAGGGCAGTGTAACAGGCCAATTTCTCTTTCCCAATGTCAATCACCTCTCACCGTGTCACTGCAGCACGGGTCATGAAAAGGCTCCGATCCCACCAGGTGTGGAGGATCCTAGCAGAGAGGAAGAGAGGAAGGAAGAGGAGGGGAGAGAAAAACCTGTCCTGCGGCATCTAAACAATACGTCACAGCCTCTTGTCTTCTGCTTATTTACCAAAGATCAAAAAACAACATTTTTACAAGAAATGACAGTTACACCAAAGTTATATTTTCCTATTTCTGAAATGAGGTGCAAAGAAAAGAACTAAATGAAATAAAACAAAATACGCTGTGTCGTGTTTAGCATCTAAAGTGATTGTTTCTGTGTAACAAACACCAGTCACTTAGAGATGACTTTAAGTGAACCCACACTTCCAAATGTTTAAGTGCAATAGGGAATCAACCTGTTTCCGTCTGTTAACCATGACTTGCTTGAGACCAATTTCCTGATTGAATATCGAAAGCATCTCAAGCACAGAGTTCCAGGAGAGCTGGATAAGGCTTCGCAGAACCAACCCAAGGCAGCTCTGTAAGATGGAGCATCAACACTGAGACTCAGAAATAGGAAACACAAAACAGCAAATCAACATCGGGTGGCAACTCCGGGCCAAGTGAAAAACATCCCCTGAACAGGGACTGTCTCTATTGGGGTAAAAGGAAAACGTTCAGTGCTCTGTCCAGAAAATTTCTGTAAGAGTCTGTATTAATAGTGTGGATCAAATAGGAAAAAACTTTTTACATGTTCTATAGGAAATAAATTTTGAGATTAACAATATTTCTCCCCTGAGCCACACACAAAGCTTACCCTGACTCAGGGGAGAAAGATATTGTTTTCTATATAACAGCATAAGATATTGGGCCAAGCTGAAAGCAAATTGGACTCTACTTTAACAAAAAGCAATGTAGTATGAAATTCAAGGATCTGGTCTTTTGGAGTCAGAGAACTAACTGCCTGTGGAGCCCAGTTCTCCATCCTGGACAGCAGACTTAGGCCTGCTGCTCTTTTCACCAGATTCCTCACCTATAACGGGATCTGCTGTATGGAATCACTGTGAGAAATGAGAGGTCTTGGAGCTAATGCTTAGAGATTCTCAGTGAGATACTCAGACTGAACACATGCATTTATCTCATTTCTTATCTGAAAGAAATGAAACAGATATAAAATTATGAGGACAAGGGGTACGAGTGAGGAGACAATACTAGACTAAAAATGTTAACTAACTTGAGGGACAGATAGAAAGTAGATGGAAGAAGGTAACTGATTCAACAGATTCCCTTCAGAGAGGGGTGATAACAAGAAGCATATTGAGCTGCTCCCACAGAACCTCAGGAAGACTTCAAGTTAAAGCCCCCAGGTTCTAGGATGTGTGGGTGGAGCATGAGGGGGAAACAGGGACTGAGAGGAGGGCAGAGGCAGAGTGGGTGGACCCCCGGATCCCCCCTGACCCCAAGCAGCAGCCAACGACCAGTTTCCCGTCTCCAGGGGCCATCTGATGCGGACACCCACCTGCAGTGTTGTGGATGAGACAAGACTAGTTCACACAGACCACCAAAGTCCTGTGGAGAAGGGATGGCATGGCCACTCTCTCAAGGGGAGAGCACCCCAACCCTTGCCTTGATAAGCTTTTACTGGGTTCAATTTGTACAGGATACAGGGTGTATATGTAAAGCTCATCAGTCATTGTCAGGCAGAAATGATTATTAAATGATAGATAATATTCAAAGAACTCTGAGGGCTTATTCTGAGTCACGGTCAGATAGTTCAAGGGCCATGAAACTTTGGGAAACAAACTCACTTCATGCTCGGACCTTTATCATTTCAATTGAGGGTATTAGCAAAGCAGGTTTCATAGGATTTCATGCATTCTTTCTTAGGCCTGACTGCCTCAGGAAACCCACCCTTTCCAGAACAGGGTTGCACCCACCTCCAGCATTATTTCAGGCTTAAATCATGCAGGGGGAGTAAAGCAGCCAAGAGATTAGGAGACTTCTTGCAGACAGAATGAGCACTCAGGCTATGTCAAAGCTGAGGTGTGAGGGTCCATCACCCCCTTTTTCTATAGCCCCCCAAACCTTAGAGAACTAAGGGCCCCTTCAAGACCATGCTTGTCTTAGGTCGTCCCTCCCTTAAGGAATCTTACACATCACTGGCTAACCAGTCATCTGCCTGGAGCCAAGCAGGGTGAGGTGAAAGGGTGGCAGAGGCGGTGCCCCTACAAGGAAGATAAGCTTTGTCTCCTTAGTGACTTATGGTCCCCAGGTCTTTTTACTCTGCCTTAGCCACAGGGGGTTACAGTTTCTGAAACCAGGCTGAGCGGTTCCCAACAGCCACCGAAGCTATATTTTCTGGAGCAGTTAAGACAGAGAGACCTGCAGGACAATGGGAGTAAATATAGGACCAAAAATGAGGATTCCGTGGAAGTCTGCCTACTGAATGGCGAGACTGCTGGCTCACTCCACTGTTCTGCTCCCAGATGCTGATATCCAGGCACATGCTTCTGTACCGTCCTTCTTCCAACCCCAATCATGTCCTTAACAAAAGATTGAAAGACTCACTTTTAGAGAAACTGAACAGCTTCAAAGAATAATTCTACACTTAAGCCCCCCCCAACAAAAAATCATCCTGAAGTGGTAAAACAAAATAAAACAAAACAAAAACCCACAAAATACCCTGCCAGGCATGTGGATCTACTCAGAGGTCCCTCTGAACTCGTTAGTGCCCCGCCTTTGACTTGATTCCCAAGGATCTCCAGAAATGCCCAGGAATATGTCACCTCCAGCAGGAACAACAGGGAACAAAACAGACAAATGGGGGGAAAGAACTAGAGGGAGAAACAAACCAGGGACCAAAAAAAAAAGATAGGAGATATTGTAGCCATAAATGTACAAGAACAGAATACTTTTTTTAAAGTATTTCTTTTTTTAAAGAAAACAGTAGAAAGTATAATAAATGTTCTGTAATTAGTAGCTATTGTTATGCTTATTTTCATTACCATGCCCCACCCCAATGGCTGCTCCACGTGAAGATACCTTTTCTTAGGTCCACTGCTCAGAAACTCCTTCACTCCTCATCCCGCACTCCTTCCCCTACCTGACCCACTTACTGTGACACAAGGAGCAAGTCAGCTCCCTGTCCTTTCTATTGCTGTCCCTCCACCTTGACCACCACATGCTGGCTCCAATTCATTGTCAGCTCTCCAGCAAGAGGCTGGATCTCGTAGCTGAAACAGGACCTCCTATTACTATTTCTTGTCATTCTTTTATGATGCTTCCTTTCCTTCACAGCACTTACTACCGTAATTTATAAATTACGTGATTTCTTGGTTGCTGTGTCTCCTGCATTTACATGAAGAGCCGTCCCTGGCCTTTAACCCAATGGCTCTTGCATAGCATGTTCTCCACAAACATTTGAATGAGAAAATAAATAAACTTAATTGTATTAGAGGAAAAGGTGTGCCTTCAAATATTCACCAGAGTATATAAAGCATCTTTTTTTCCCCCTGAAGAGTCAAAGAACTGAAAACGGTGAGGTTTCAACTTAGGCTGCTGCTCAAAAAAATTATGTTTCTATTTCCTTTAATCTGAGTTTTGGTGGAATAAGACATAAAGGCTAGCATTATTTACTACTGTGACAACTGGAAATGCCAGGTGTGAATATATTTATAAAATGTGAAAATTGTTTTCTATTAAGAACACCTGATTTCAGAAGAGGGGCATATACTAGGTGTAGGTGGTATTTACTTGGTCAAGAACTCAAATTCAGAACCTTCCCAGTTTAGAGTTTTTCGGAGGGACAGGCTCGTTGAGAAAGCCTTTGCTAAGCCTAAAGGAATCAATGTCCTTCTGAGCTTTTTCCTTCACGTGAGCCACAGGCATAAACCAACAAAAGCAACATGATTCAGGTGGGTTTTTTTTATAGTTTAAAATTCTTCTTCCAAATCTTTTATTTAATCTGAGGTCCATGAGTAATGATCAATCACAGAATCTTTGCACTTGGAAGCCACTGTCTTACAAAGGAGAAAATGAAGGCACAAGGCAAAGTGGTCCAAGCTTCCACAGACCATCATGGCCATTTGGCCTCTCTAGCCACGCAGGCCTGTCACTGCCTGGTGGGAGTTGGTCCCCCTTACAGCCTCAGTCCACCGGAGAGAGAGGCCACAGAACCCACTGGGTGCCAAACCAGACAGGTGTCCGCCCTCCAGCAACTAACGTTCTCGTGCAGGAGACAATAAACTTGTAAAGAAGTCAGATAATTATCATTCCCGACCAGCTCTCTGAAGGATAACATAAGCAAATGTAGCGGGGAGTAATTGGGGTTGAAGACATGAGGAAGAAGCCTCTTGGGGGGGGGGTGGAGAGAATGGAATCTTCCCCCATGGAAGACTTGGGGGAAGCACTGCAAAGCCCTTATGTGGAAACTGGATTGGTACATTCCGGGGAAAGACGAAAGCTAGAGCCTAATGAGAAAGGGTAGGAGGGAAGGTCTGAGATAAGACAGTGGCTCGGGCCATGGATGGCTGTGGCAGTGGAGATGGTAACAAGGATGCTTCTTGGGGTGGAGCCAACAGGAAAAACTGAAGGAGTGGATGTAGAGGTGAGAGGAAGAGAAGAATCGGTGATGACTCCTACGTTTGTGGATGGCGGTGCCACTTACCCAGATGGGTCATGCTAGGGGCGAGAACAAATCCATCTAGGCGGGTTAAGTGTGAGGTGTTTCTTGGCCATGGAGAAATTGCTGAATTTATTTCCACATTCTCTTCTTGTGCCTCTCTCCCTCCATCACCACATTCGGCCACTCTGGCCTTTCTTCAGTTCTTCTAACATGCAAAACCCATTCCCCTCTGAGCCCCAGCCATGCCGTTCCTTCTGCAGGAACTCACACTTCGCACGACTTCTCTTTTACTTCCTTCAGGCCTCAGCCTAAATGTGCTCCCTTCAGTAAGGCCTTGGCTAACTATCTCATTGGAATTAGGACCTTCCCTTTATTGTACTCTTTTTCCTTCAAGAGGCTTAGCATAATCTGTAATCACCCATTAGTTTACTTTTATCATCTATCTTTCCTCCCAGAATGTGTTATAAATCAGCACCTAGCACAATGCAAGGCACATAATCATTGTTCAATGAAAATGTGGTTAAAATAATGGAGAGAAGCCCTAGCTGGGTGGCTCAGTTGGTTGGAGTGGGGTCTCGTACACTAAAAGGTCATGGGTTTGATTCCCAGTCAGTGCACGTTCGAGAAGCAACCAGAGTTTCTCTCTCTCCCTCTCTCTGTCTCTCTCTGTCTCTCTCTCTTCCCTCCTTCCCTTCCTCTGTCTCTAAAGTCAATAAAACATGTATCTTAGGGTAGAGATTTAAAAAGAATAATAATAGGGGGAAAACCAAAAGATATTTGAATTGGCAAAAATAAGGACTTTTGTAGGAGAAGCAGTGTAGGCATGAAAGTGGGCCCCTGAGGGTGTGAAGGCCGGGAACTGGGCCTGGTTTCTGCGGCTGCTCTCCATACCCCCTCTCCCAGCCTAGCCCTGGCCCACGCAGTTCGTCTCAAGCCCCGAAACCCTTCACCTCTACATACAACACATGCTGCTCACATGCAAGAGTCTCGGGGATAAAGAAGGTACAAGACTTTCTTTCCTGTGCCACTGGCTTTCCTGGGGGCCACCTCCTGCACAAAATCTTTCCGAACCCTTGCGATGGCCCAAGGATAAGAACAGGACTGGAGCGACAAAAACAGCATCACAATAGGTAACGTTCCCTGTCTGCACTGGGCACTTTAAGTTCAGGCTAAAAATACCTTGCTAATAGAATTTCGCCTGTTTTATTTTTAAATAAACTTTACTATTTCTAGCAGTTTCATATTTAGAGAAAACTGACAAGTACAGTGAGTTTCTATACAACCCATACTTAGTTTTCCCTATTGTTATCTTGTATTAATATGGGACTTTTGCTACAATTAATGAACCAGTATTGATACATTATTTTTAACAAAAATCCATATTTTACTCAGGTTTCTTTTTTTTTAACGTGATGTCCTTTTTCTGTTCCAGGATCCCATCTAGGACACATTAATTCACTCATCGTATCTCCTTAGGCTCCTCTAGGCTCTGACAGTTTCTCAGACTTTCTCTGCTTGATGACCTGCACAGTTTGGAGGAGCTCTGGGCAGTTATGTTGTGGAATGCCCTCCTATTGGGATCTATGGGGGCTTTGGGAGGAAGGCGCAGAAGTAAAGTGTCCTTTTCGTCCCATGATGTCAAAAGCACATACTATCAACATGACTCACAACTACTGACGGTGACCTTGATTATCTGGCTGAGGTGGTATCTGTCAGATTTCTCTACTGTAAGGTTACTGTTTTTTCCCTTTGTTTCCACACTGTACTCCATAAAAAACGGTCACTATGCACTGCCACATTTAAGGAGTCGAGAGTTATGCC